GGAGCATTGTTTGCACTTTTGAGAGCTGTGGCTTTCGCAACAGGCTATTCAAATGTTCCTTGATACTATCCACAACTGGGCAAATAGTTTTCTAATCATTGGAGAACTTAAGGAAAGATACCCTTTACTTTTAATCTTTACTTCTCTCTCTCCGTAGCGGTCAATTCTTGTCCCTCTGCTTTGTATTATCTGGGACACAAAGCTTCCCGGTAATTGGATATTTTTCATCAAACTGCTGTCAAGGATACGTTTTCCTCGTTTTTTTCCCTTCAAATTCATTCATTAAGCAGAGCCAAACAGAAGGAAATTGCTTTCGGTAGCTTTGAAGCATTTGGGTACCAAACAACTCATCCAAAAGACTTTCAAACCGCTGGTTTACGTACATTCCACCATAATGACCCCCGGTGACGTTGGAGATCTCTTATTCTACCATCATCTTGAAACTCATGCACTGTTACATCAAGTGTTCCACCTAATAAGGAAGTGTGAAAATGTCAGCTCATCAGAAAAGGTATCAATAATTCGTAGATACCTTTTATCTAGTACCACAGCTCCTCTTTTTTTATTCCATTTCCATTCTCGCTGTTGTTACCACTAAAACTACAACCTTTATTACCCCAACAGCCTTCTGCATCCCCCCAGTCATCGATTAAGCAAACGAAATCAATTGCCGAAGTTGAGCAGTCTTCTCATCTCATTTACAGCCGTTGTTTGGTTTTACACGCAACACCCTCCTCCCACCACCCTCGGCAATTACAATTACTATTGAGGGTTGATTCCTCAACAGAAGAGCTTGTTATTAAAACAAATAACGAAATCAACCATTAATTAATTTCTACTATATGTTACAGCTTTAAGCACGGACTAAATATGGCTTCTTGTGATGAACGACGGACATGTAGTGACGAATGACCACACTTTTTGCTTAAAGAACAAGACTGCACTTACTCCACGAGCTCCTCTATAAAGCAATACATTAATTTTTATGAGGATTTGTGAAGAAAATGTAACTTACCTCCAATATCAACGACAATGTAATGTGTATGTATATGTGCACGATCCTTCGCAGTAAAGCACTATTTAAGCAATAGTGAAAATCAGACCTGAAAAAAATTCAGGCCTGTACGGGATTCGAACCACTGACCTCTGCGATACTAGTGCAGCGCTCTACCAATTGAGCTAACAAGCCAACTGGGAGCAGGCCATCAAATTAATTCGACATAAACCCGTAGATGATAAATCAAACAACAAACATATGAAATACATATATATGAACTGCGGTTATGAAACGTATATGTGCACGATCCTTCGCAGTAAAGCACTATTTAAGCAATAGTGAAAATCAGACCTGAAAAAAATTCAGGCCTGTACGGGATTCGAACCACTGACCTCTGCGATACTAGTGCAGCGCTCTACCAATTGAGCTAACAAGCCAACTGGGAGCAGGCCATCAAATTAATTCGACATAAACCCGTAGATGATAAATCAAACAACAAATATATATGAAATACATATATATGAACTGCGGTTATGAAACGTATATGTGCACGATCCTTCGCAGTAAAGCACTATTTAAGCAATAGTGAAAATCAGACCTGAAAAAAATTCAGGCCTGTACGGGATTCGAACCACTGACCTCTGCGATACTAGTGCAGCGCTCTACCAATTGAGCTAACAAGCCAACTGGGAGCAGGCCATCAAATTAATTCGACATAAACCCGTAGATGATAAATCAAACAACAAATATATATGAAATACATATATATGAACTGCGGTTATGAAACGTATATGTGCACGATCCTTCGCAGTAAAGCACTATTTAAGCAATAGTGAAAATCAGACCTGAAAAAAATTCAGGCCAGTTCATATGTATGTATTTCATATGTTTGTTGTTTAATGTAATGTGTGTTGGTTTGAGATAGCACTCCATCTAAAAATCTGTTGCCAGATTCTTCTTGAAAGTCATTCATATTTTTCTCCTTGCAGAAAATTGCCGCTGCTTCTGGTTCCAAAGCGATCATTAGTTGATCAGCATTTCCTGCTGATCCCACGCCAGCCTTTTAGAGCGAAAAAGAATTGAATATGTATGAGAAATGATGCAATATCTTAGATTTAACAAATAGATTATATGTTGCCCTGCGTTTGTTCAGAAATACATTTTATTACCAAATTTTAACGTCTTCTTTGATCTGTTACCAAACAGACCCACGGCAACTTGGAATTTATTTGTCTCTTATGATAGAAAAAAAGACTTTTGTTAATGATGACATCATTTATGCATCTGTCCCCTAATAGATCATTTGCCTCCGGTGTGACTGGTTGTTTTTAAACAACCGTGTTTTGCGCATTTCGACGATATGCGCTAATCAAAGCGCTGCATTGTATTTACAAAGTGCAGATTCGCATCTGTTGTAAATAAATCGTGAGATTTACGATCATACTTTATCATTTTCGTGTTTCACGACGGTTATCTAAAAAATCATTTTATTACGATCTGGTTACTTATTTGAAAGAATTAAAAGTGAAATCTTCCAAAAAAGGGCTGTTTAAAAACTAGTGAGTAGAGTGCCGGAAAAAATTCACGTCGCCATATAGAAAATGATCCAAAGAGTAGTTGAAAAGTAGTCCAAGAGTCCATTAGTCTAGTCCTTACTTTATCTGTGCCTAACGTTAAATGATTAACTCGAGTAAATGTGATATATTAAACTTCACGCAACAACCAGGTGGTAAATCAGACATGGTTTGATGCTACGCTGGTTTAAAGATTTAATGAATGTAACCGGGGAAATTATAATTCATCGACCCGACGTTCGACTCTCCCGTCAAGTGCCTTCATCAGGGTGATCTGATCGTTACATCAAGAGGCCCTAGACAGGAGTGTTGAAACGTAGGGTCGATGAATTGTAATTTTCCCGGTTACATTCACTAAATCTTTAAACCACAGTAGTATCTAACCATATCTAGTAAATGTATTGAGAATCACGATTATTGTGCAACTTCATGAAATAAATTGATACATTGGACGCTTTCTATAGTAATCACGATGATGCAAAGAGTGGGCTAATTTCTTAGTGTCTGAATGTTTGCGCTTTAAAGAAAGTGGTAAAATAATAGAAAATCACCTCATAAGCCGCCTCCCGCATAAACTGCTTTGCTCTCGGGGTCCATATGACGGGGACGGTCAGAACCCACTGAATGTCATCTGCGCTGAAATGATCATCTCCGGTTCTCTGACGAATTACTTTTATAGCTTCATCTTTAAGGAAGTTAATGGAACGTGCAAACACTATCTTGGCTTGATTCGGACCACTGACCTGATGAGTGATGAGTGATCTCTCTCCCTCAAATATGGTCGGGTCCAGAGCGTAGCTGATGCGTAATGACAAATTTAACATGAGCCTGTTGTCTGGTCAGGCCAGAATGTTCACACCCTTTGCAAAAAGACTGACAATTGTATTTGACTAGAGAAAACAAAAGTAAACAAACCCATGTTTTGCCTATCTCATTAATCTTTCCTTCTAAGACGATAAATTTAAGAAGTGAATGACTACTTTTTATAGAAGTCCAAAGCCAATCAATGCATTATGTGGCGATATATGACTAGAACATGGTTTGATATACCAGAAGGAACTCGGCGCCTCGACTAGAGCTTCTCGTTCACCCCAAACCAAGCTCTGCACTACGCAAGGGACAAACTGTAATGGAATGTATGTTAACAGGAGGAGAGAATATGGCTGCTCGGCTAAGAATTAGGTCAACTTCGTCTTTTGGTCCGGAAAAACCGAAACTAGCGGAATGGTTATCAATCCGCCTTGAACTGACAGGCAAGGAGAGGTATAATTACCGTTTCCCGTTTTCTGGATCGTTTGTCGAAGTCAAAATGTACTGCTACTAAAGTTTTGAACGAGCAGAACGACACGCAATGCTGTTGCAGAGTTTCATCTTTTCTCTGCAATTCGTTTCATTAGTCAACGAAAATGCCAGTTTCAAGGTATTTCCTGTAATTAATCAAACAAGCAATAGAGATTAAGATAGCAAGGAAGAGAAAACAAATACGATACAACCTTTCAGCGTCTTAAAAAATACTTGCAAATTATTTAATCAACGTACTAAAACATGTGTAAACGAAAGGTGGAAAATTTTCATACCATCATAGTTTTATGATCTGCCTTATCATTTTAAGCAGCATATGGCAGTCTGCGGTATTTCCTTACATTTAGGTGGCTCCGAAAGCCGCAAAACTCATGAACAAAAGTACGTTTATCTCTCAAAGGGGCACTCTTAATCCCATAGGGTAACGATCGCTTTTCATTCTATTGATTAATTCTTTTCTTGTCACCATGTTCTCACCAATAGCGTAGCTCCACTTTCTGCATATAACTGACACACACAGCCCACTACTGACTCCTCCATTTGCTCGGACGAAGGGCTAATGCTCGAAACGTCAGGTTTTTAACTCTTTGTGGTGGCCAATTTACTATTTCAACTTAGTCGATAGAACCAAATCACCTAATAATTTCATTGCTTTACAAGCGTGTCTGCTCATTTCTCGATGAAGCCATAGCTTGGCTCCTTAGGCATCAGTAACTGACTCAAACCATTGTTCTACGATTGGCAGTTTCTTGACTACCTGTAAATTTACTCTGCTGTGAAAACAGCTACGTGTCTCGCTAACTTATTTTTAGACCTGCCTGTGTTTTTCTTTGATGCTGAGTCATAAAACCGTACTGCTTACACAACAGTTATGGAAAGTTTGCCTGTCCCCCAAGTGAAAAAAAATAATTGAACATTGTTGCTCATCTGTGAGTATCATTTGGAAAAAGGTGGTCCAATCCCCTCCCCTCCCCCCCAACACGGTTTGAGACGCCTTAGCTTCTCTGTTTTGCGTGACTGATCATTCAATGATAATCTAGTCTGCCACGCTATAAAAGCAAAGTCTCGGCTGAATATAATCGTGCGACTTTGTGCAATTGACGCCTGGAGGGGCAAATATCTTTTTACGCAAATTGTCTCACGAAGCCACGACAGAGATCGAGTGATGCTCAATCGTACAATCGCATTGCTTACACTACAATAATGGAAAATTCGCCTGTCTTCCAAGTGAAAGAAAATGAGTGGACATCGGAGAAGTATTTTGACGTTTTGGGCATGTATATTCCAGTATTTCTTACTCCCAATCCTAAGTTACTCTCCGACTTCATCTCCAATTTCCAAACAAGAGCAGATGATGTGTTTGTGGTTACCTACCCCAAATCAGGTTGGTGATAGTGTTACTTGTAGAGGTTTAACTAACGTTTATATGAGCTATTAAAAGCCATCTGTAAAGTGAACCACTTCATACTCAAGCTTAACTAAGCGTATGTCCGTGACTTATCGTAACGCAACGTAAGTTAACGTAGCGTGTGAACTTGAGGTTTTGCAGTCTTTACGAAAGCCAGGCCTGGATATCTTGTCAGTCAAAGCATCAGTATGCATTTCGTTTCTGCATATGTTTTAATGGTTGCGGGCACATCTTCCCTGCATATCGACTTGAACTTAGCAACTTAGAGGAGAAAAGCACTCTAAAGAAAGTAGAATTTATTTGAATCAGGCTTGACGTTGTTTTGAATCAAGACAACGTCAGTGAAGCAGAACTCCACATCGAAAAATAAAGGTGCCGTTTCGTCTGCACCGCAGCCGAGTCTCCATCGCAGCTGATCTTTCTCTCTAAAGAACAGCTGCGAAGGAGAAAACAAACCAGGCCTGTTTGCTTTCTTACTTGACGACCGCGCCCCAGCATCTGAGTCCAGGAATGGTTCGATATTCAATTTCTTATTACTGGTTTCATATTTTCATTATTTCTGGCTTCATAGTATTTACTGTCTTTAAACGAAAGCACTTATTTAAAATTGGCACAATTTCCTTCAGTGACAAATTGTATGCAAGAAATTATCTGGCAAATCTACAACAACGGGGAGAACATAAGTGAAGTTATTTCAAGGCGAGTGCCATTCCTAGAATTTTCAACAAATCCCACACTGGGTGAGTTTGTGGACATCACCAAACTTCCCAGTCCCCGTCTTATAAAGTCCCATCTTTCCTACAACATCATTCCTAAAGGTTCAAGCGACGACACCAAATGTAAATACATGTACATTGCCCGTAATCCAAAGGATTTTTCACTTTCATACTTCCATTTCATGGAGAGCCTGAATTCGTTTGGAAATGGCTACAGTGGGCCATGGGAATTTTTTTCCAAGTTGTTTATCGATGGAAATGGTAAGACTCAGGGAGCAGTCGGCAGATTTTGATTATGTCACTATAAGATTTACCTTACCCTTAGTCGCCCGTTTACACTCTGTTTCCGGAGACTGACCGCCCTTCCCCCCTTCGTTTCCTCTGAAATCCATGTGATGCTCCCAAAAATCCTCCCTCTCCACAGGCAACAAATAGTGTCTGACCCCTAAATCTAGTTTAACAGTCTACAAAGGAGGGGGTGCGGGGTTACTTTGACGTAATGGAGATATTTGAAAGTAAACCTCCACTGATATAACAGATTGTCTACAGCTAATATGTTTTAACTTTGACGGAAATACTCTAAATGAGAAGAACTATGCTGGAAACGAGAAAACAAACCTTTAAAAGCTTGCTGATACTATGTGGAATTGAAATCCTTTTGCTGAAAGATTTCTGAGACACTTTTATAAGAAATTCATAGATAATCAAAAGAACTCTCACCGGCGCGCGTTGTTCAAAGCCTCATACTTTACGATGTACGAAGAATTGCTCATGTTAAAACGCTGAAATTGAGGGCCTACTCCAAGGTTAAAAAGGACATGGCCAGGCTTTCCCTGTTACAGAATATTACACTCCACATCCTCAAATGGATCTTTATTGAAAACAATGCTTTTGGAGCTCGTTATTACAGTTCGCTAGAACTTCGCGTTAACTATTAGTTAAAAATATCACACTTTTTCATTTGCAGTAGGTCGGAACCGCTCGAATAACCACGTTCTGGGTTGGTGGAAGCACAAAGATGATCCTAACTTCTTGTTTCTTAAATATGAAGATCTCAAAAAGGTTTGTAAGCAGTTAGCCGATGTTTTAATGCTCCCGTTTTAATTTTGGTGGGAAGAACTAGTTGCACAACGGGCACTGCTTACCCAGCTTATCCACTTTCTAGGGAAACAGGACTCTTTCATCTTATCTCCCCTCAAAACCTGCCGTGTAAACATCCAAATTATCAAATCTGTTGTCTTTAATAAGGATCTACTTTCACAAGTTCAATGGATCGCCAGCTTCCTCAATAAATCGCTATCAGAAGATGTTATCAGTCGCATTGCTGAACAATGCAGTTTCAGTGTAATGATGAAAGATCTGTCAAAGTACTCGGTAAATGAAGGCAAGGTCTGTCTTCTTCGGAAGGCCGTGGTAGTGGACTGGAAGAATTATTTTACCCCAGAGTTGAATGAGAGATTTGAGAAGGAGGTGCTGTCAAAACTAGAAGGAACTGGATTAGAGTTTGATTTTGAGTTGTAGTTAAATTTTCATAGGCACCGTAATCTCTACGTAGTAATTAATGGATAATTACTGAGGCATATGGCATTATGAGAAATATTGCAGCCAGATGAGGCCGTAGGCCTCAATATTTCTCAATATTTCTCATAATGCCGTATGCCTCAGTAATTATCCATTAAATAATGGGTGAGAGAAAGCGAAAATTACAACGGGTGTGGATGTATTAATGAAAGACAATGAGACAGTGGCTGTGAATATGTTGACAAAAGTTTATTGTAGCGGGAAAGCGTCAGATGTTCTTTAGATAAAACTTGTTTTCGTGGCGGCATTTGGATATAAGTTCGGATCTTTTATTCAGTAAGTTGTTGCTGTTGGACTTAATAATCATGAGTTTTTCGGTCAGGCAAAGGTCGCATCTTTTCGTCGTGTTGTTGTAGGGCCTAGCTCCTGCAATAATGGACCCTTTTATGTTGAAGTTTACAGAGTTGACCTTCAGTTGCCAGATGTATTTGGATAGTTCAGTGCTGTTAGTGTATTTTCTGTGTCAGAATGTGAACTTGTGTTAATCAAATCTTTGTTTAAAAGTTCCTTCAGTCAGTCCGATGTAGTTCTTAGGAGTCGCTTTGTTATCTGTAGTGGTGATTTGTACGTTGTAGACAAAGCTGGAAGACAGGTAATTGTTGTTGAGCGAGCACTGTTCTCTAGATCTGCAGTTACAAAGACTCTCGTTGTTGTCGTGGTTGTTGTTGTTAGACACTACTTTCTTGTTGTGTTTGTTAATGATCGATCCCATGTTCTCCATACAACTGTAGCTGACCTTTACGTTGCTCTTGTTGAATAAACTATGGTATTTGTGATGTTTTGGACAATGCTTCGATAACAGACTAACAAATGTTCTGCCGATGTTTTTTGTTACTAAAAGGTGGGTTGTACCAGATAGTTTCTTTGTCGGGTTCTTTTGGGTCGGGTGGTCTGTCTGTGCCTCTTGTAGGTTAAGGTTTTCGTTTGTCCGCTGGATTTGAGGGCAGTGTCGTATTCCGTCTTGGCTTTGTTGAATTCGTATTCCTTGCAGGAGTTATCAGATATTCTACGGCTGATGGAGTCAGGTAGTTGCTTGATTATGTTGGGAGGGTGGTTTCACTTTGCATCGATGTACAGCGGCTGGTTGTTAGGCTCTCTGTAAGGGCAGTACGTTCCATTGTTGAGATTCAATGTGACGTCGAGATGGATGACGATTTTCAAGTTGGTCTGTAGAGTGATGTTGAGTCCGTTGTTCTTGATGTGACTGGTAATGTCTTTCCTAATTCTTTCGGCTTGTGGTCCAGAGATGTTTTTGAATACGGTAAGTCCGTCGTCTCTGTACAGATCAATGTATTCTGTTCTGTAGGTGTTACCAAAACCGCTGAGAATATATATACCGACTAATTCACAAACTTCCGCGCCGTCGTAGCTACCCATGGTGACATCAAAGGAGCTATTGTCTTTTTTGATCCAGGTCGTACCGTTGTTAAAAAGTAGTGATTTCCTTGAGTGCTTAATAATGTTAATGTCAAGATCCGATATAGTAGTGTATTGTTTGGCAAAGGAGATAGAGTCTGTTAATAGCTTCTCGGTGATAGATGGATAAAAGTTTTCAATGTTCAAGACAGCAAGAGTGTATTGGTTCTTGTGTTGAATATCGGAGAACCAGTTGATCACTGAGCAAGAATTTTTCCTTTAGTTAAGAGCCAGTTATTACATTTGAAGCTATCTGTTATTACATTTGAAGCCAGTTATTTTATTTGAGCCCAATTATTTTCACACAAGGTGTGCTTGTAAAGTTCACATTCAGCGAGTGTTGACTTCATACCGAGTGTGGACTGTGTGAAGTCCACATGTGCACCAGCCCTTTTTTTGAGAAGTACCACACCCACCAAGACTAGTTGTACAGTGATCCTGAACATGGAACAGCAACCCCGCGTCTGAAGCCATAGAATCGTGGCAGGCCCTTTGCAAGAGGAAGACCTAGGCAGATGAGACAATGAACTCTCCAATAAAGTAGCAGAATATTGGCTGATGATTGTCAAAAACGGTTTGTTTATTGTTGTAATTGTGGCACTCCTTTGCCAATAGCATACTGTCTTCAAATGTAATAACAGTTGGCCTCAAATGTAATAACTGTCTTCAAATGTAATAACAGCTGGCCTCAAATGTAATAACTGGCGTAAAAGTAAACCATACGTTTTGCGATAAACTCAGTCTGCAAACAAATTTTGGGTGTCCTTTGTCACAACCATGAAAAATCAGTTATTTTTTTAATGAATAGATGAAGACCAAACGTGGACTTAGTGATCAATTACTGAAAATAAGCAAGTTCATGTCATCAGTATTTGATGATGTCATCAGTCAGAAATCGAAATCTGGCATTTGTGATGTCAATAGTCAAGGAAAATTTTATACAGCTCGGCTATTTACTTCTGGCATATTGCAGCCAAGCTGTCGAAAGCTGTCAAAGCTTTCAAGCCTGTTTACGACATTACATTTCTTTTGAGCGTATACAAAACGCAAACGTTTCATCGAGGAAAAAAATAACGTCACACGCCTTGTTGTAAGAGGGGATCTTTTTTTGGTGGCTTCTAGTCTTTCAATCGTTTCTTTTTTTTATTTTATACTGGAAAAAATCTAAACAAATACCGAAGGAAGCGACGGCGACTTAATTTTGAACGGATGGTGTCATTCTAGCAGAGCTTTTAAGCGTAGCCTAGCCTTACAGAAAAGATTGGCTCAAGCTCAACAAAAACCTTAAACGCTCTAAAAGTTTAGACTTGCCTTGCTGATTAACGCGTAATATCTCTACTTGGCAATAGTGAAAAAAGTGTATGATGCGTAGCGACAAAAGACAAGCACTAACCATAATCTTGTGATTTATTGTCCAAAGAAATAGACCCTCTGAACCTGAGATGCTGTGACGAGATATAGAATACAAACACTACAAAATTAACTGAACTGTAATGATTAACGTAAAAAAAAAAAGAAGAAAGCATGGGCGTCCTTTGTACCTAATTACAACAGTAAAAGAGTGGAGGCATGCTAATTTTCCTGAGTCTATGCCAGTGTATGCTCGTTATCAAGAACCATCCCAACAGTCGTGGCTTCAACTTAAGCCATGCATGGTATGGCATCACCACCATCGTCCTCATCCTCCATGAAGTCGTTAAAGCCACCGACACTGTTTTGAACACCCGGGGTAAGACTGGCATAATGTTCTCCGTGATTTTCAGTGAAGTGGCCAAGGTAGACGGTAGTGAGAGGGCTACTGGATGAGGGGCTAAATGTGTGATTGGCCCCAACACCAAGCGCTAAGAACGACTCAATACATCCGCGGTTAAACTCAAAGTTTTACTTTATTCTGACTAAGGACAAAACCTCCTTGGCGAATACTCGATCTTCACAAGGCAAAATCTCGAACGAAGTAAAAGTACTTGACATTTGATCCCTGTCACTCATTTTAAAAATACGACAAGTGTAACGCAACGTCACGTTCTCCTGAACACCAAGAGAAGAGATAACGTGGACGTTGACCTTATACAGATTTGCTGCTGCACACAGAGTAAGCTGATCCCCAAACGTCTGGCTCTGCATCATGTTTATAAGGTAATCGCCCCAAGTTTCGTATTGCGGGACCAGTTCTAATAGCAGGAATCCATCATAATCGAGGGGATTACTTTCCAGGTATTCAACTATCTCTTCTCTCAAAGTTTCAGGAGACCTTAAGATGCCAAGACCACTTTTAAACTGACGTGCCAAAGATGTAAATTGGCAATCTCCATTTCCAGGGGGATTGTACGTAATTACAACTCCTTGATCCTCTATTATTTTCCTGTAGTCTTCCTTTTCCATAAGGATAAGAAATTTAGCACCGTGGTTTTCTTTTTGCTGTTTTGAAAGCCTGGCCACTCTTTGTTTGTTTTTCTCTTCTCGCAAGGTGAAACTCGTTAAATCATCAACTTCCAGCCACTTCTTCTCGTTTTTTCCGCTTTCGGGGGACGTGTACGACACTTTATAAAGGTGCCTCTTTAAATTTCCCCTTTCAATGAACGTCTCAGTAACGCAACGCTTCTTTTGAAGCCGTCCTTTACCACGAAGGCGCACATACACTTCCTCCCCGACAGCATATTTTGAGGGTGGATTGCTATGTGTTTTTGTCGGCGCTTCTGATCTGCATAGTTAAAGTTGCACTTTCTCTCGTTCTTAGCAGTTCTTTTTCCATTCCTGGGGTCGATGTCCTATCAAGTGAATTACTTCCTCGAGCGAGGTAGACCTCAAAAAGTGTCTTGTATCCTGATACCTCTTTTGGATCTTCATTTTAGAATTTGCTGATAATTACTGAGATTTTACGCCCAGTTAACGCCTTTTCTTCTCATTTTTAAGAAGTCGTACTCTATTTTTGATCTAAGTGACCTGTGGCATCTCTCAATCATCCCTTGCGATTGTGGATGGAAGGGTCGACTGTCTATTAGCTTTATGTTCACCGCCTCGGTCATTTTGAATTACGCGCAGTGGCCCGAGCGCTAAATAAATATCTCCAGTTCGTCAGAGATGACCTTGCTACTTTTTTCTCTGACTGCACGTAACCAGACAAACCGACTAAAAACGTCCAATTACTACTAATACATACCGGTATGATTTCTTATTTTGAGACACTGTTCCACCCTTGCCCATGTTCACTAAATCCACCTCGGATACCTCGTTTGAACATCTTGAGCACGAATGGGTTTGAGTGTAGCCTTGTTAAGAAATTTAGCAATTTTTCTGAAGTGAAGCGTATCAGAGTTCAGGATGTTTTGAACTTTAGCTCGGCCTAGCCCCACAAACGCATGTCGCAAGTTGCTCACTAGCTTTCTTGCGCCTGATCCCTTAGTGCGCTCAAATTCTTCTGCCACAAGTTTATCGACTTGAGAGAGTCGAAGCATTCGACGTCTCCGGTAATACAGCGAATCTTTCTCTCTTTCCTTTTGGACGGTTATATCTCCTTTCGCTCTCCAGTATCTTACATACGCTGATCT